ATTTTTTGAAACTTATTTTATGTATTTTTTAGTTTAACACTTTTTTTATTAATTTAACTTTAACTTTATCTTTAATTTTTAGATTTTTTTGTTTAAAAGTAAAAATTTTTTTTTAATTTTTAGGTGCCTACTTATCTGCTTATTTTTCTTTCTGTTCCATTAATGTTTTAAACAGAAATTTCTTTTTTAATCTCATATAATATTTAGAAGTCATTTTATTTTTTAATTTATTTATTTTCTCTTTTAAATTTAATTTTCTGTTAAGTTTTAATTTTTGTTGCTTTAAAAAGAATAATATATAATTTTTTTTTCTTTTTTTAATTTAATTTACTTTTAGATTTTAGTTTTTATTGCTTTAAAAAGAATCACATATATTTTTTTATTTCATTAAATTTTTATAAAACTTACTGCTAAACGTCAAACAGATTGCGGCTAAGACCTCTTCGTTCAATTAGTCTTTCGAAAGCCAGAAAAGATCTTTGAAAGTAGTAGCCAGAATGTTCTTACGAAAGACTTTTTTGCCTGAAAAATTTTGAAATCTTAAAAAATACGGTGGTTTTGTGAATTCTGAAGGCTAATTGGTACATCTGTCGTATGATTATGTATTTCGAGTGCAACTTTCGTAACTATTTTGAACGAATAATGATAAAATATTAGGGACTGTAAACACTTTCCTACTTTTCAAAACTCTATTTGTATTTACACAACCCTGTTAGTGTCGCGTTAACAACACATATACTAGTATGTCGGAATTATTCGCAATCTCCTCATAGTATGTACACATGTACATATGTACATACTTAAGTATGCACATGTATGCACTTCCCCTTTTGCAAACTATAAATGCAATTACCGGTTAGCCCACTGTGCGTACTCATAATAATTTTTCTATATACCCGCCGTTGCCGCTCCGCCACTTCCTCCATTACCACACCGCTATTGCATGCTGCAGCACGGCAGCGCCGTCTACGTCGACGTTGGCATCCTCAGCGTCATCGTTCACGTCCACGTCCACGTCGTCCCTGACACCGGCACAGGCGCTGTCACTGGGTCTCTAGTGAGTTTTGTTGGCTATGGCTATGGCTGTGGCAAAAACCTGGAGACAAATGCGAAAAATTTCTCTACCCTTTTTCAGTATGGAGCGCGACTTTGAAACGTTTGCAACGTTGGCACTGAAATTGTTACTTACGAAAGTGCAATGTATGTAAATAAAAAATAAAAAAATCCAACCGAACTAACTCATTGAATTGCCGACTGGTTGACTGCTTGACTCGCCGACTGGCGGCTAGCTGGATAGTTGACTCCAGCTAAACGACTAAGTGCCCGAGTGACGGACGACTCTTTTGACTCTGTGCTATAAACTTTACCCAACTAGCGGTAGCTGGCTGGCTGGCAGGCTGGCTGACTAACTGAATGTTCGATTTGCTGTTGATTGAATATTTATATCACTGCAGAGTTGCATGTGTGTGCATATGCATTGTAAATTATAATGTATTTTGCATTTTTTTTTTGCAAAAAAGCTGATTGTAAAACAGTGCATATACTATTGAAAAAAAGCTACTTTGTAAACAAAAAAAAAAAATTCAAATAAAAGGTTGTGTAAAAAATTAAAGGTTGCGTGACGCGTCGCGAAGTGAGCAATGAACTGTTGGAAAAGTTGTGAAAAGTGGTGCGTCAATGGAAAGCGTGTGGAACTAATTAAGGAAATTTTTTGCTGTGAAAGCTCTGATTGATGTTTTTTAATGTTAAAAAAATCGACTGTGAAAAATGAAAAATACTGCA